TCTTTGAAGTCTCTCAGCCCCACTCACCTCACAGAGTGTTTGTTGTGGGGGAGGAAGGGAAAGGAGAATGTTAGCCGCTTTGAGACTCCTGAAAGGGAGTGAAAGGCGGGATCTCAAATCTAAACTCTTCTTCTTCTTCTATCTATCTATCTATCTATCTATCTATCCATCTATCATAGGCTTTTAGTCCGATCGTTGCATTTGAAGGTGCCACGAGACCCAGGAAATACCTGCAGGAGACCCTGCGCTAGGCTAGGAAGGAAAACCTGCCATCTCCGTGGTCTCCTGTCTTTGTACAGTACCTCAGTGGACTAGCTGCTTTTATTTTAATTTAGTTTATTAGTTTTACTTTAATTTGTTTTAGTTACAGGTAGGTGTCGGTCTGCCGCAGTCGAAACACAATAAGAAAGTTCCTTCCAGTAGCACCTTAGAGACCAACTAAGTTTGTTCTTGGTATGAGCTTCCGTGTGCATGCACACTTCTTCAGATACCTGTGCATGCACACTTCTTCTTCAGGTATCTTCAAGCTCATACTAATAACAAACTTAGTTGGTCTCTAAGGTGCTACTGGAAGGAATTTAATTTGTTTAACAGCATAGGAGGAAGTGAATGGCTCAGTACAGCAGGAGACTCTTGATCTCAGGGTCCTGGGTTCAAGCCACATGTTGGGCAAAAAATCGCTGCATTGCAGGGGTTGGACTAGATGACCCCTGGGACCCTTCCAACTCTACAGTTCTATGATTCTATGGTTATCTGTCTGCCTGTCTATCTTTTGCATTTATATCCTCTAAGGAGCTCAAAGTGGCGCCCTGGGCTCTTCTCCTGGGCATGCAGTCTGGCTGCTGCCACAGCCGAGGCAGCCAGGCTCCCTTCTGACATCCTCAGTGGCTTCTTTCCAGAGCCGGCCCAAGATATTTTGCTGCCTGAGGCAACCAACAAGATGCTGTGTGTGTCCCTTCCATGTTCTGAAAGTGACTGGACTGAGAGATGACTCAGGATAGCAGCATTGCCCAGCACACCTGAGGGCGTCTGGCTAGTTTAGGGGGTGCAGGACGTTCCTGCTCTCGAGGAGAGGGGAACAGCCAAGGAAGTGGTGCTTCCGCCACTCCTCAGCTACGGCCACCTGGAGAAGTTTCCTCCTTCCACCCAATAGTCGTACCGGCTCTGCTTCTTTATGCCTCCAGCACATCACAGCCGCTATTAAATTTCACTGACTGGGTGGTTTCATCAGCAAGTCACCTGCATTGATTGTTAATGGTGCACGGGTGGCACTGTGGTCTAAACCACAGAGCCTTGGGCTTGCCGATCAGAAGGTCGGCGGTTCGAATCCCCGCGACGGGGTGAGCTCCCGTTGCTCGGTCCCTGCTCCTGCCAACCTAGCAGTTTGAAATCATGTCAAGTGCAAGTAGATAAATAGGTACCGCTCCGGTGGGAAGGTAAACGGCGTTTCCATGTGCTGCTCTGGTTCGCCAGAAGTGGCTTAGTCATGCTGGCCACATGACCCGGAAGCTGTCTGCGGACAAACACCGGCTCCCTCAGTCTCTAGGACTAGATGAGCGCCGCAACCCCAGAGTCGGCCACGACTGGACCTAATAGTCAGGGGTCTCTTTACCTTTACCTATGTCTTATAAGAACACCAGAAGAAGAACCTTCTGGATCCAGCCAAAGGCCCAAACAGTCCACCATCTTCTCCTCACCAGTGGACCTCTTCTCCCATTATGGGAAACCAGTGAGCAGGATCCGAGTGCAAGAGCAACTCTCCCGTCTTGTGGCTCCCAGACACTGGCTCTCAGAAGCATCGCTGCCCCAACAGTGAAGGCAGAGCCGAGCCATCATGGCAAGAAGCCACCAATAGCCTTTTTCTGCCTGAATTTACCCAGTGCTCTTTGAGTTCTTTCTTTTACCCCTCCTGAGTCTTGGCCAGGCAGAATAACCCTGCTGGCTTCTTATAGGGCGTTGTATAAATGCTTTTACAAATAAGTAGCTGGAGACAAAGCTCCCACGGAGGTGATTGGGGAACCCGCCTCCTGGCACCCCCATGTTGCTCTGCCAGAATGCCCTAGATAGGGCATATTTCTGGGGCAGCCTTCCCTGAATCTCCTGGCATCCAGGGTGGAGCAGATGGGAACCATACAAGGTTGAGAAAGCTATTCGGGAGGATCTTGAGGAAGTGGGGCACTGAGTCACCACCACAACATGAAGGCATCTGGTCGGACACTTTGAGAACAGGATGATGGGTCATGGGCCTGATCCTGCAGCCTCTTCTCAGGCTCTGCACAGAATAACAAAAACAGGCACACCCACCCCCTTAGACATTCATGACTCTGGCAGCTGGTTTCGTAACAAAGGAACCAGGGGAGGCCTGTTGTTGCAAAGCAAGGCACGGGCCTGTTGCTCTCCTTAGCAAGTCCCAAAGGTTGAGGACCACCACCGAAAAGGCCCTGTCTCTTTTCCCCACAGCTCCACGGAGTCCAATGGTTTTGGGCGGTTTTGAAAGAGGACTGGGCAAATTCATGGAGAATAGGACAATCGATGGCAATAATAATAATAATAATAATAATAATAATAATAATAATAATAATAAATACCCCGCCCATCTGGCTGGGTTTCTCCAGCCACTCTGGGCGGCTTCCAATGGAATATTAAAATACAATAACCTATTAAACATTAAAAGCTTCCCTAAACAGGGCTGCCTTCAGATGTTTTCTAAGAGTCTGGTAGTAGTTTTTCTCTTTGACATCTGGTGGGAGGGTGTTCCACAGGACAGGTGCCACCACCGAGAAGGCCCTCTGCCTGGTTCCCTGTAACTTGGCTTCTCGCAGGGAGGGAACCACCAGCAGACCCTTGGAGCTGGACCTCAGTGTCCGGGCAGAACGATGGGGGTGGAGACGCTCCTTCAGGTGTACTGGGCCAAAGCCATTTAGGGCTTTAAGGGTCAGCACCAACACTTTGAATTGTGCTCGGAAACGTACTGTGAGCCAATGCAGATCTCTCAGGACCGGTGTTATGTGATCCCAGCGGCTGCTCCCGTTCACCAGTCTAGCTGCCGCATTCTGGATTAGTTGTAGTTTCCGGGTCACCTTCAAAGGTATCCCCACGTAGAGCGCATTGCAGTAGTCCAAGCGGGAGATAACCAGAGCATGCACCACTCTGGCCAGACAGTCTGCAGGCAGGGAGGGTCTCATCCTGCGTACCAGATGGAGCTGGTAAACAGATGGAGCTGATAATATCAGCCATGAAGGAGGCTATAAGGACATAAGAAGGTAGGACGAGCCTTCTGGATCAGGCCAGTGGGTTACCTAGTCCAGCATCCTGTTCCCACAGTGGCCAATCAGATGCCAGTGGGAAACCAGCGAGCAGGATCCCAGCGCAAGAGCAACTCTCCCCTCCCGCGGTTCCCAGCGACTGGCATTCAGATGCCTGCCTGCCTTTGACCAGAGAGACAGCGCATTGCCACTATGGCTGGCTGCCTCTAATAGCCCTCCTGGAATTGGCCTAATCCTCTTTTAAAGACTGGTGGGCACCACTGCCTCCTGAGGCAGGGAGTTCCATAGTTTAACTATGTGCTGCATGAAGGACTTTCTTTAACCGGACCCGAATCTTCTAATGTTCAGCTTTAAAACCATTAAGCCGTTGTGTTGGAAACCATATTTGGAAGACGCTGCAAAAGTCGAGGAATACCCCAGAGATCCCTGGCTTAGCAAGGAGGAAGATTTTTGGATGACTCACCAGCTAAACTGAGAAAGGAATCTTTGTAAAGCCTTTGACCCTTTCTCTCCTTCGTTTGTCTACCTCTCATTACCATGTCAGTGGATTACACGGCAATTTCCAGAACCACTGCTCTGTTTTTGCAGCACTAATTGACTTCCCTGGGGGGCACAGATGGGGTCCAAAGGAAAGCAGAGCCGAGGGGGACATTTGGCACCATCATCATCATCATTTCTTATTTACGCCCTGCCCATCTGACTAGGTTTCCCCAGCCACTCTGGGCGGCTCCCCATAGAATATTAAAAACATGATAAATACATCAAACATTAAAATCTTCCCTAAACAGGGCTGCCTTCAGATGTCTTCTAAAAGTCTGGTAGTTGTTTAATGCCTTGACATCTGGTGGGAGGGCGTTCCACAGGGCGGGCACCACTACCAAAAAGGCCCTGTGCCTGGTTCCCTGTAACCTCACTTTTTGCAGCGAGGGAACCACCAGAAGGCCCTCAGAGCTGGACCTCTGTGTACAGACTGAATGATGGGGGTGGAGACGCTCCTTCAGGTCTACTGGGCTGAGGCCGTTTAGGGCTTTAAAGGTCAGCACCAACACTTTGAATTATGCTCAGAAATGTACCGGGAAGAGGTTGCCAGAAGGGGGTGTACAAGGCACCATCCAGCCACCTTAGGGGCTCTACTCCAGATTTGTGTCTGGTTTCCTCCTTAGCCTTTTTCTTTCTGCTGAAGATGTCCCACAAGGCAGCGGATACAGAGTTTTACTCGGGATTTACTCTGACGAGAAAGGCAGCAGAGATTTAGGACCAGAGTTTTCCTTCTCCTAAATGGGCTCCCTTCCCATGTTGATCAGCCCCCATCTGGCCCTCACTTCCCTCTGCATCTCATGTAGAAACCGACTTCTTGATTGTTGGACCCAATCCTGGTCTCCTCTGCTCCATCTCCACCTGTCTCCACATGCAGGGGAAGCCCCTAACTCACCAAAGGTGAGTTACCTTTGGCTACCCTCACCTGGTTTAGCCGGCCAGTCGAAGCCGTTTCCCGGGATTGTGGCCGCTGCCGCATGCTGACAGCTTCTAGGAGCCACAGGTGAGAGCTGAGTGCAGGGTGGGAATAGGACCCCCACCTCATATATTGACCCTGGGTGTGTCAATGTTCTCCCCCTCCTCCTTTTCCCTGCCCCCTCCAGGACAACCCACCAGAAAGAAAAGCAGCCCCCCAGGATCCTGGGGGCCAGCAAAGCAAAAACCCGTCACTATTCAAAATGCAGCACATGTTTATAAAATATAAATATTATTCCAGATACAGAAAGAAAAGCAAAAATCGTCAACAAACGTCGTAATGGGAAACGAAAATAAATAAGAAGGGCGAGTTTAACAATACGGAGGCTTTTTGGGGTCTGCTTGGGAAGATCTTCTGCTCTCTTCCTGACTTGAGTCTTTCAGAGCAGCCCTCCCCACAAGACACACACACACACACACACACACACAACACACGAGAGCCCTCCAGCTCACAGAGCAGGGAAGGAATGCAACACCCTGAATGACCCATCACACCCTCGGAAAAAACGTTTTGGTCTTGCAACTGAAATGCCACCTAAGGGGAAATGGGAGAGTTGTAAAAGGCTCTTTCTAAGAAGTCTGAGCACAGCACCTTAGCTGCTCCCTTGACGCGGAATTCCTCCCGCCCGCCCTTGCACCGAAACCCCCAGGTGCTGAGAGCAGACGCGCGGGAGAGGGCGGAGGGGATCCCCCTCTGCCTCAAAGGGAAGGGAGTCAGACAAGGGCACCTGGTGTGCAGAGGCACAGAGGCCTCCTTCCTCCTTGCAAGAGTCAGGGTGAAGCCCTAGCTGCCCCCAGCTGTGCTTGAATCCCTGAGCACCCAGACGAGGGAGAGACCTTTGCAGAGCGGAAAGCCTATACTGGGGCAGGCAGGTTTGCAACGGGGACTATCCATTTTCCACTCACTACGGCTTTAAGAGTGAATCACAGAATCAGAAGGGATCCCCCAAAGGTCATCCAGCCCAACCCCAGCTGGGAAACCGCCTGCTGCAGAATCACAGAAGGGATGCCCCGCTTGGTGGGGAAGCTGTCAAGCTCCTCTCTGCCTCCTTTCTGCCACTTGCCTCAGTATCACAGAACTGTAGAGTTGGAAGGGACCCATGGGTCATCTAGTCCAACCCCCTGCCTTGCAGCTGAGAGGCCCTTTGCAATCATTTTTCTCAGAGGGTTGAAGGCAGCAGGAAAGGGGGGGTGCTGCTTGTAGTTTGGATACTCCCCCCCCCTGGAACCCTTTACCTCTGCTGAGCACATTTTGAAGGCTTCCCCATTGTTCCAAAAACTTGACTGGGGGGAACTGAAGGCAGGCACTCTGCACATGGGAAGTGAAGTCTTCCACAAACCACCATCTCCATCCACAGAGGGAGAGATGGGCATTTCCTGGAATCTCAATCTGCAGGAGAAGAACTTTTCTGAGCATGAAGAAGAACATTCTGATGGGAAGAAGGTGGTGGAGGTTTAAAAGCGAAGGTTGGTTGGCCCCCTGCCAGGGATAATTCAGCCGTGATCCCTGCTTTGCAGGGGGTTGGGACCAATGATTCTCCAGTTCTATGATTCCACGAGGAATTCTGCCTCTGACGGCCTGCATCTAATGCCCTGTTGCTTACTAACGTGTCTTCCTCTGAAAACTCGAATCCGGGCCCTGAGTGAGCGGTAGGGGCATGTTCTGCGTGAAACGGGGACTGGGAATCACTGAGCATTCCCACGCCCACGCACCCTGGCCTGCCCTGCTGCTCAGCTCAAAACCACACAAACACACGCACCCCTCCCCCACCCCAGGCTGCATTTTGCTGAAAATAACAATAACAAAAAATAAAATAAAAATTAAATTATGGGTTTTGTCATTACATGCACCAAAGTGTCGTTTGCCCAGGAGTGATTCTGAAGAATGAGAAGGAAGTGCTGGCTTGCCCGGTGTGCCAAAGGCGCAAACCCAAGTTTTGCTTAATTTTGATCCACGTGGGTGATATTGCTACATTCGTTATTCCGAGGTCTGAAAAGTTAACAGCGGGGTCTGCTCTTCAAATACGCTGCTCCTTTTCTCTTTTCTTTTTTGCAGTATATAACCTTGAAGCTATCCAAAAGCAAGACTGGGACCATGCTGAATTGTACCTCCACCCTGGAACAACCTCCCCCCCCCCTTAGAAATCTGAACCAGCCCCATCCTGCCCTGCCTTGCCCCGCTGAAGAGCTCTGTGTCGCTGGAGACTCCGCTCAGGCAGCGAAGAAGAGGGCTACTGAGGAACAACTTCTGCTCCTGTGTTCTGGCATTCAGGTTTCTTGGGGGTGGGGGCCGGGGGGGCGGTCGCCTCTCACTTTGCCTGGTCTGAGTCTCACCAGAGAGCATGAGAGAGCCAAACCGGCCCTCCAAAATGAAAAAGGAAAAACCGGAAGCCCCTCCAAAGGATAGGGAGTCTTCCTTTTTGAACCACGCATCGCACATGGAGCAAACTTGTTTTCTGCAGCTCTGGAGAGGAAGACGCGAACCGTCGAATTCAAATGACAAGGAAGGAGTTTCAAACAAAATATTAGGAAGGACTTTCTGGTGCTAAGAACCATTTAACAGTGGAATGGATGTTGACTGGCCACCTGTCAGGAGCTGCTTAGCTCCTGGGTTTGGACTAGATGATTTTAGGGGTCCCTGCCTACCTACCCTTCTATGATTCCCCTGCAGTCTCCCGTTCATGCAAACCACAGCCAGACACAATCGAGTGACCCCCCCCGCCCCTCCCCACAAACTGAGCTGCCCCCAAACTTAGTCAAGTCTACCCTGAGAGAGGATGCCCAGGAACACAGTGATGGTCCAAAAACATTCGCAGATCAGTTCCTGGTGCAGGTAAATGTGTGACTGTTTTTGCTCTGAGGCTGGTTTTGCTGTCATCACAGATATCGTAACCTGAGGCGTTTTGCTTCTTGCATAGGTGTAGGTGAGGTTTAACCCGACCAGGAAAACAAAGAGGCTCTGTGCTTTTGCACACAGAGGCGCCCGCGCACCCTAGCAGTTCTGAACGTGGTCCAGGTACTTCGCGATGCTTTCTAGGCACTTGTGGAGTCGGTCCAAGGTCACCACGGCTGTCGTGTACGGGGAGACGGTCATCAGCTCTGTGAGGTTGCCCAGGTTGTCGGCCGCAGAAGGTCTGCGGAGCAGGCAGCCCAGGTGGGAGCTCAGCATCTGAAGGAGGCTGCGGAGGTTCTCCACGTCGTTGGAGATTTGCACCACGGGGGCCTCCAAAGGCAGGCTGGAGAGGACCTGGTGGAAGATGTGCAGGGTCTCGTCGATGGCCTCCAGGCTTTCTGCCGGCAGCTGCCCAGGGATGAAATCAAACCCGTTGATCTTCAGGTTCACTGGAGGAAACTGCAATGGGAAGAGGGAAATCGCAGGCAGTTATGCCAAGCTCTGCTGCAGATGACAGCAAGGCTTAAAGGTAAAAGGTAAAGGGACCCCTGACCATTAGGTCCAGTCGTGGCCGACTCTGGGGTTGCGGCGCTCATCTCGCTTTATTGGCCGAGGGAGCCGGGGTACAGCTTCCGGGATATGTGACCAGCATGACTAAGCCGCTTCTGGCGAACCAGAGCAGCGCATGGAAACACTGTTTACCTTCCTGCCGGAGCGGTACCTATTTATCTACTTGCACTTTGACGTGCTTTCGAACTGCTAGGTTGGCAGGAGCAGGGACCGAGCAACGGGAGCTCACCCCGTCATTGCGGGGATTCAAACCACCGACCTTCTGATCGGCAAGTCCTAGGCTCTGTGGTTTAGACCACAGTGCTACCCGCATCCCTGACAGCAAGGCTTAGCCTTAAGGAAAATGGAAGGAAGGAGGAAGGGCTGCTTTCCCAAAGCAAGGGTTTCACCCAGTGAGTTGCTGCTCACACCACTCTGGAGCACATGAGACAGGCGCATGCCTTGAACACTTGTACCACAGAATGCCAGACTGACACCCATCCTCTCTTGGAAGCTGCCCAGAGTGGCTGGGGCAATCCAGTCAGATGGGCGGGGTGCAAGAAATTGTTGTTGTTATTATTGTGGCAGGCTTGGCAGGGAGGGTTGAAATGTTTACCGCAGAGAAGTCCTGGCCCATGACCTAAATAAACTCTCAAAGCGCCTACATATTATTCTCCTCTACAACCCTGAAAATTAGTACAGCTCCAAGGCTTCAATTGGTCTTAATTTGGCCTAGTTATTGCATGTTTCAGATGCCTAAGAACCACTTGTGTTCTGCTGAGCATATTCCCAGGTGAGCATGCACAAGGGATGGGTTCCAAAGAGCTGCCATTCGAGGTCTCTCTGCAAATTTTGGGCATTTGCCGCTTGCAGGGGGAGAATTATGTAACACCTACCTGCACTTATGGTGCAGTAGTATTTGCAGAAAATAGCTTCTAGGGTGTACCCGACCTCAGTGAACCTATCACAGGAAAGGTGTGCCCTGGTTGCTAGGGGGAAAGGAAAGGGGAAGGGGGATGAAAAGACTAGAAAACAAGGAGGGAGGGGAGGGAGGGAACTAAAGGGGAAGGGGAAAACACTATTTCTTTAGGACCCCAGGAAATCCTATTGGCTGGTTTCCAAACAACTCACTCCTCAATCACAGTTCTGACTTCACTCACTGGCTAAAACACAAAGACAGGAGCAGCTAGGCTGGCTCATTTCACAGAAGGCTGCCTGCACATTTTGTTGTGTAACTTCCTTCTAGGAAGCCTAGTTCTTTTTGAATGAAACTCAGCCCCCAATCCCTTTGAAGGCCTGGGCCCTGGTACAATCGCTCCGGTACAATTCACCCATGCTCCCCACTCTGATAGCCCGTTGCCGCAGACAGGCACTGAGGAGGGGGCATTCGGGGCTGTTTGGTTTGTGTGCCATGATACTGAGTATGCCGTCTGCCTGGGTGGCTAGTACTAATGCAGGAGAAGCCTGGCTTGCTGTCATCAGCTTGGAGGAGAGCAGAAGGTCCTGCAGACTGCAATGAGCTCCAGGAAGACACAGTCAGACCCTGAATGGCCATGATTCTTTTGTGGGGCTGGACTAGATGACCCCTGGGGGACCCTTCCAGCTCTACAATCCAATGCTTCTGTGAGTAGGTGGGAAGGAGGGGACGGAGCCTGTTCTTGCCCCACCTCTTACCTGGTGCTCCTGGATCCTGGCCATGATGGTCTTGGTGAGGCTTTTAGTGTCAGCTACGACCTTGTCAATTTTCACAGGCCGGCCGTGGAAGAGGGGCAGCCAGACCCATAGCAAGCCACACAAGGAGATGTTGGGGCAGCGCATCTTCTCCTTCAGCCTGTGCAGATAAAGAGGAAAACCAGTTAGAATCATAGAGATGGAATAGACCACAAGGGCCATCGAGTCCAACGCCCTGCCAAGCAGGAAACACCATCAGTTAGGGGAGCTCCTCTGGGTGTCCTGAAGAAGGGGTGTCCGTCCTCACAGGGAATGTGGATAGAGAGAGAGAAGGCTTTCTCCCTGTCTTGTAACACCAGAAGCCGAAAGTGAGAAGATTCAGGGCAGAGAAAAGAAAGGACACAGTGCAGAGTTGAACTGTGGAACTCCCTCCCACAGGAGGAAATAGAGGCGGCTTTAAAAGAGGAGGAGACATGGAGGAGGAGAGGGCTTCTGATGGCTTGCCCTCCACGGTCAGAGGCAGCGATCAGGTCAGAAGGGCTCTTGTGTTCGGATCCTGCCTGTGGGATCCCCTGGCCAGACTCTTTCCCTGTCTGACTTTGGACCAGATGCTGTGATTCCTGCATTGCAGGAGGAGCCTTTGAGGTCCCTTCCAACTCTACAGTTCTTCCGTTCCACTATGTTTCAGTCTTCCTAAACTTGGAAAGATACTAACCTTTGCTTTAGGAACAAATGCACAGGTGAACAACCTCATAGGGTTGTTTTGGGGAGATAAAAGATGGGGCAGGGTGTGTGTGTGTGTGTGTGCATGACACTCCCTGAAGGAAAACCAAGTGAAAAACAAAATGGGCAGAACAGAACATCACCATGGGCCTAAAATATGTCCTTTTTTAATTATCTTGCATGTTAACCTTTCCCCTGGAAAGACTTCTTTGGCTTCCTCTATTCATCACATTGTTGGTAAAGGAGCTGAGTGTGCTGAGCTGGTCAAACCAGTGAGTGACTCCCCCCCCCCCCAGTGGGGGTCTTGCTTCCCTAACTCCTCTCACCTACTCGGAAGGGCTCTCAGCTGGCTCCCAGGAAGCAAAGTCCACTTGGGCAGGAGAAGTCTGCCAAAGCAGCTGGTGTTAGAGGCTCTTGAGAATCAATTTCCTTATACACCCCCCCCCCTTACAGTGTGCAAAAAGTAACGCAAGCACAAACTTAATGAACGGAGCAAATTAAAATTAGAGCGGCGCAAATGAGTGACTTTGCAAAACAACAGAGGGAGATGATCTGTACCTGAAAATTCAGGCCGGCTGGTTAGAGGAGTGATGGGGCTCGCCTGGGCCCCAAAACATAAGCTGTAAAATTTTGCGGCAGGGAGAGATTTCTGGCCCTTGCACACTGGCCCATTTCTCAAAACCAAAGACCCTCAATCTACAAAGCCTCCCTAAGTAGCTGCCTTTCTGGGTGTTCACCAAGCCAACAGAAAACACATCGCAATCCATTGCAGTTGCTACTTCTTGGGGGAGAAAATTCAACAGTAGAGTTTTGTGCTGTGTGGAAAAAAAGTATTTCCTTTTCCTCTAGGTCAGTGTTTCCCAACCTTGTGCCTCCAGCTGTTTTTGAACTACAACTCCCATCATCCCTGACTAGCAAGACCAGTGGCAAGGGATGGTGGGAATTGTAGGCCAAAAACAGCTGGAGGCACAAGGTTGGGAAACACTGCTCTAGGTTGTGTCCAATGCTGGCCCTACTCAGAGTAGGGCCACTGATGCTATTGGACATGGCTAACTTTGGTTCACTGACTTCATCGGGTCTATCCAGGGCCGGATTTAGGTTTGATGAAGTTCTAAGCTTTGTCAACAACAAGTTGTTGCTGTTTTTTGTGTTGAATATATGCTATATGGTAATTTATGGACCTCATAGGTATCTCAAACCATTTGCACATGTTGCCAGGCTACCAGTCCATGCAGAATGTAGGCACCCTATATATAGAAAGGAGCAAACCAGTGATATTTGAGGGAGCAGGCGAGCAGGCGGGGCCCATGACTTACATCAGAGGAGCCTGCACAATTCAAAACACTGTTGCTGGATGTAGGTTTTATTTTATTGTTGTTCATCTTATATTTTTGAAATATACATCCAGTTTTTTCCCTTTAATTTTTTTTGGGGGGGGCCAAGAGAGTGGGGCCCTAAGCTATAGCTTGTTTAGCTTATACGCACTGGGTCTACAGCCCTCAATCTCCCAACATCCAGCTTCCTGGATGGCCCTGCAGAGTTACACCCCGCCTTTTCTTCCATGGAGCTGAAGGTGGCATAGCAAAACAGAATCACAGAATTGGAAGGGACCCCGAGGGTCATCTAGTCCAACCCCCTGCAATGCAGAAGTATGCAGCTGTCCTGTACGGAGATCAAAGCTGCAACCTTGGCGTTCTCAGCACCATGCTCTAACCAACTGAGCTCTCCAGGCTGGCTCACGCAGTTCTCTCCCCACACAATAACCCTGCGAGGAAGCTTAGGCTGAGAGGCATTACGACTGACCCGAAGTCAGTGGGCCAAGTGGGGATGATTCGAACCCTGGTCTCCCAGGCCCCAGTCTGACACTCTCCCTAACCAGGACACCCCACTGGCTGCCTAAATGGCTCTCCTGAGTTCTGGCCTTGCGAGGGGGTGAGGGAAGACTCCTCCAGGAAGCAGCGTCTTCCAAGCTGCCTGGCATGAGGCGTGGTGCCCAGCAGCTGCCACACCAAGGGCACCGGCGCTTGTGCCTCCCCCGCTGAAGTTCCCACTGACGGTGTTTACCACGGCAAGATCCCGGCCGCATCCCAATGTTTCTGGAGATTCACTTCAAAACATCTCAAGGAAGGAGGACTCCGTGCACCAGGTGGGAAGGAAATTAAGGCAGCCCAGCAAATCCGCAGGGCCCGTTGGGCAGGTGTGTTTCCTGAGAATCTCAAGCAGCGCCGTTGACAGTTTTGGCAACATCTGGCTGCCAGTGGCAAGCAGGAACAGAGTCTGCCTGCCTGCCTGCCTGCCTTCTCAGGGCCGAGGCCTGTGGCCATCCAGCTGCACTGCACCCCCCACCCATGGGTGTTACATAAATCCGACCGCCGTGATAACAGAGCGGTAAACAGGACGCCGAAATGAGGAATCCGGGGCCAGCAGCACAATGAAGTGGAGGCTTCTCTGAACTCTGGACACTGAGGGACAACTTGTCGGCATCGGAGGCTGACATGAATAGGTGGCTTTGATGCTCACTGTTTCTCTCGCTGAAAGTCAAAAGGGGGTGTGGCTCAGCGGCACAGCCCAGGGCCCCCTGGCAGAATCCTAGAATTGTAGGCTTGGAAGGGACCCTGAGGGTCATCGAGTCCAACCCGCTGCAATGTAGGAATAGGCAGCTGTTCCCTACAGGGATCATCAAATCTGAAACCTTGGTGTTCTCAGCACCATACTCAGCACCAGCTAGAGAATGCGGTAGGAGAACACTTCAGTCTCCCAGGACATTCTATACAAGATCTCAAAGCAGCTGTCTTATTACAAAAGAATTTCAGAAATAGACTGGAAAGAGAAGTTGCTGAATTGCAACTTATTACCAAACTTAAAACCATGGAGAGACCTGGTCTGAATAGAGACATTGGATTCTTATCTCATTATACATGATAAAGCTATTTTTGGCCATCTCACCCCTCGCTTTTTCCTATAAGACCAATTGCAGTTGTTAACAGTTGTCAACAGGTTTAGCACACCCATCAGCCAATCACTCATTCCCCCTTCTGAGTAATACCCCTCCCCACCCTCTCACTATATACAAGGGTCTGGTGACTTCTGTTCCAGTGTATCTGAAGAAGTGGGCATGCACACGAAAAGCTCATACCAAGAACAAACTTAGTTGGTCTCTAAGGTGCTACTGTGGGACGCGGGTGGCGCTGTGGGTAAAGCCTCAGCGCCTAGGGCTTGCTGATCGAAAGGTCAGCGGTTCGAATCCCCGCGGCGGGGTGCGCTCCCGTTGCTCGGTCCCAGCGCCTGCCAACCTAGCAGTTCGAAAGCACCCCCGGGTGCAAGTAGAGAAATAGGGACCGCTTACTAGCGGGAAGGTAAACAGCGTTTCCGTGTGCGGCTCTGGCTCGCCAGAGCAGTGATGTCACGCTGGCCACGTGACCCGGAAGTGTCTCCGGACAGCGCTGGCTCCCGGCCTCTTGAGTGAGATGGGCGCACAACCCTAGAGTCTGTCAAGACTGGCCCGTACGGGCAGGGGTACCTTTACCTTTAAGGTGCTACTGGAAGGAATTTTTTTTTAATTTATTTATTTATTTTATTTTATTTTACTACGGCAGACCAACACGGCTACCTACATGTATTTAGCACCGGCTAGGGCTAGGCGAGACTCCCTGTCTGAAACCCAACCAGAGCCATCCCTGCCAGTTGGTGCAGTCAGCACTGAGCCCAAAGGGAATTTCCTAAGCTCTCGAAAAGCCTGCCAAGAGGAGCTCCAGAATAGAGCTGTTAGGCAGTGGAACAGTCTTCCACAAGAGGTGATGGACTCTCCTTCCTTGGAGGCAGTGGCTGAGATTCCTGCATTGTGGGGGGTTGGACTACATGACCTTTGGTGTCCCTTCCAACTCTACGATTCTAGAATTCCATGAGCGAAGCAATGCTAGGCCTGTGCTTGGAGTACTGCAGAGAAACCCAGAGTCCAAGGATCCCTCTTACCTGAGCAGAAGGCTGCCCAAAGCCATGGCCTGCAAAGTTGGGTCACAACTTGGGTTCTGCCCCTTCACTGCCACCTGACGGTGCCCACTGCCCAGCCTGGCACTTGGGGCTGATCAGGTTGCCCCCTGGCCTGTTTCATTTGCCGGAGCCTGGAAGTGGGACCCCGGAGCCAGCAGATCAGATGAGGAACGGAGGAAGCGGCTGTCCTGCGCTAGAGGCAGAGCACTGGGGTCAGTCTAGTTCTAGTGAAGCCTCCAGGATTTCTGGTGGGGAAACTCCCCCAGCCTTGCCCATGGAGATTGTGCCAGCGACCTTTGGGGTGACTTTCTGTGGACTAGATGGGACCCAGCCTGATCCCGCCAGGCTCTTTGGGGATTCTTTGGTTGTGGCTCCGCATTGGAGGGGTTGGTCTAGATGGCCTTTGGGGTGCTCTGTCATTCCATGACTCTTCTTATTTTCTA